AAGGGTACAAGTAGGCGAGCGGTGTGGGAGCACGGCGGTGCGGTGGAGGAGCGGGGGCCAACGGGTGCGCGGCGCATGGCGCGGCAGCAAAGCTTGCGCATTACACGGGCTGACAGCTCGAGGACCGGCGGGGGGGCGGGTGGGCGGGGGCGGTGTGCGCCGGTGGCAAAAAGCGGGGTCGCGGCGCGCGGCGATTGGCGCGCGCGCCCCCTCGCGGGGCGCGGGATGCGGCGATTGGGCGCGGGATGCGAAGCGCGTCGCCATTGGATGATCTGTTTCGCATTTCGATGACAGCCGGATCTGCGGCCCGCGCCTCCCGCGCCGCGCGTTATGGCCGGCCCCCCGCGTCCTCTCTTGCGCCCGCACGTGTACCGCGCTCGCTTGCCGCGCGCGCGCGCGGCCCCTTTTTATACACGCGGCCCCGCGCTTCCACCCCCGCCCGACGGCATCCCGCTCCCCCCCCCCACCCCGTCCCGCTTCCCCACGAGCCCCGGATATGACGGGCCTCGTGCAGCCGCTGCGCGATGAGCCGCCCCTGTGCGGACTGCTGCCGCCCGCACCGCTCGACTTCTCCGCCTTGCTCGCGCCGGACGCTCTCGTGCGCGACCCGCTGGGGTCCGCGCGCCGCGCCTCGCCGTGCGCCGCGCTGCGCCCGCTCTCGTTCGATATCCTGGCCGCGCACATCCTGCCGTACGGCGCGCCCGTCTCGCCCGTCTCGCCCGTCTCGCCCGTGTATGTACAACACCAACAACATCAACTACCACCTTACCAACAACCACCACCACCACCACAACCACAACAACAGCAGCAGCAGCAGCAGCAGCAGCAGCAACAAGAACCGCCGCCCCCTTCCCCTCCGGGCGGGGCGCGCGCGCGGCAGCGGCTGGGCGCGGCAGGCGTGCTGCGCAAGCGGGCGTCGGACTCGTCGCTGTCGTCGACGTCGTCGACGACGCGGGTGGACAAGGCGGCCGAGCGGCGGCGCAAGAACCGGGAGTCGTCCAGCCGGTGCTACTACAACCGCAAGCGGATCATCGAGGACCTGGACGGGCGCATCTCGGGCGAGAAGTCGCGCGTCGCGGCGCTGTACGACCGCGCGCTGGAGCTGCGCCACGAGAACGCGCGCCTCAAGAAGGACGTCGTCACGCGCGGCATCGCCCTCCCGACCAAAGGCAAGCCCTTTCGCAAGCAGCACCACCTCCTCGCGGGGCACGCTTACTTTCAGCTCCTGCAGACCACGGCGAACAGCGCTCCGGCGATGTAGCCGTAAACCGTTTTTTTTTTTTTTTTTTTTTTTTCTCTTCTATAGTATTATCGCGCCAGTTTCTTCATTGTTGCCTTCATTGTTGCATTGTTGCCTCCATTCCCACGTGTACCCGTGTCAGACCTGCTCCCTGACCGCCCGCTCATACAGTACCCTTGGTAGTGTAATCCACACCACCGTGTCTGCCACCGTGTCTGCCACCGCGTCTGCCAGCACACGCGCCGGCCGCCTTACTTTTTTCCCCTTTTCCAACCTCCTCGCTGTGAAGGTGGAAGCTACCCTTGGTGCCTTGTCGGTTGTTTTCCCGACCGACGTCGGCGCTTTATTTACTCACACAGGAGTTGACACTAAAAACTGCACAAATTACAGTTTCTCCCAATGACAGAAGTGAGTCAACACCGGTCGCCCTTCGTCGCTGTAAGGACCAAGAGAGTCCCAATGACACTCGCCCTGTTTCCCCCCGCCTCCACATCTCAAGCCCCCTTCCTTCCATCCCATCTTCCATCACTCCTTCCATCCCATCAACGCATTCCCGCGTACAGTGGATGCACCCACTGGGTGCATCCAGAAAATAGCACTCTAATACTTTACCTCTCTCCCCGTCCATCCGCCCCCGCGCTCCCCCGCCATCATATGTCCCGTGCTGCACCGCCGCAGCCGCATCACCACGCCACGCCACGCCCGTCGCCCGTCGCAAGGGCGCCAGACCAGACATGCCTACTTGCCAAACGTGTCCAGCAGCGCGTCGACGACGGACGGGTCTGTGAGCGTGCTGGTGTCGCCGAGGTCCTCTCGCCTGGTGCGCGCGCCGCCGGCCGCGATCTTGCGGAGGATGCGCCGCATGATCTTCCCGGAGCGCGTCTTGGGCAGCGCGGGCGCCCAGTGCACGGCGTCGGGCGCGGCAAACGCCCCGATCTCGTTGCGCACGCACGCCCGGATCTCGGCCCGCAGGTCGCCCGACGCCTCCACCCCGCCCATCAGCGACACGAACGCGTACAGGCTCTCCCCCTTCACCGCGTGCCCCACCGACACCACTGCCGCCTCCGCCACCGCGTGGTGCAGCACCAGCGCCGACTCCACCTCCGCAGTCCCGATCCGGTGCCCGCTCACGTTCAGGATGTCGTCCACGCGCCCCGTCAGCCAGTAGTGCCCGTCCGCGTCCCGCCGCGCACCGTCCCCCGTCATGTAGTACCCCGGGAACCGCCCAAAGTACGCCTCCTCCATCCGCCCGTGGTCCCCGTACACCGTGCGCAGCGCCGCCGGCCACCCCGACTTGATCACCAGCAATCCCTCCCCCTCGCCCTCCACCTCCGCCCCGTCCCCGTTCAGCAGCGCCGCCTGGATCCCGAAGAACGGCATCATCGCACACCCCGGCTTCATCTGCAGCCCCGGGATGGGCAGCGGCGTCATCGCGTGCCCGCCCGTCTCCGTCTGCCACCACGTGTCCACGATCGCGCACCGCCGCGCCCCCACCACCTCGTAGTACCACATCCACGCCTCCGGGTTGATCGGCTCGCCCACCGTCCCCAGCACCCGCAGGCTCGACCGGTCGCACATCCACACCCAGTCGTCGCTGCACGCCTCTGCCTTACCATCCCTCGCTTGCGGGGGCGGCGCCGCCCCCTTGAGCGCCCGAATCACCGTCGGCGCCGTGTACAGCTGGTTCACCCCGTAATGCTCGCAGATCTCCCACAGTCTCGCCGGGGTGGGGTAGTTGGGCACGCCCTCGTACAGCACCTGCGTCGCCCCGTTCAGCAACGGCCCGTACGTCACGTACGAGTGCCCCGTGATCCACCCGCAGTCCGACGTCGAAAAGAACACGTCCCCCTCGTGATAGTCAAACGTATACTTGAACGTCGTCGCCGCGTAAACCATATACCCCCCTGTCGAATGCACTACGCCCTTCGGCTTCCCCGTGCTCCCGCTCGTGTACAGCACAAACAACGGGTGCTCGCTCTCCACCCACTCCACCTCGCACTCCGCGTCTGCCTCCCTCACCGCTTCGTCCCAATCCACGTCGCGCCCGGCCACCATGCATGCCTCGTCGGACACGCTCTCCGCCCCCGGCACCTTGGTGACAATCTGGTGCTCCACGCGATGGCCGGCCGCCTCCGCGATCTCAAGCGCGCGGTCAGCAATGGCCTTGAGCTGGATCTGTTTCTTCCCGCGCCCGATCGCCTCCGTAACGACGACGACGTTGGCCTTCGAGTCAACGATCCTCCCCGCGAGCGCCTCGGACGAGAAGCCGCCGAACACGACCGAGTGCACGGCGCCGATGCGCGCGCACGCCAGCATGGCGGCCGGCAGCTCCGGGACCATGGGCATGTATAGGACTACGACGTCGCCCTTGCGCACGCCGCGCGCGCGCAGCACGTTGCCCATGCGCGCGACCGAGTCGGCGAGGTCTGCGTACGTGACGACGCGGCGGCGGCCGGGCTCGTTGCCCTCGGCGTAGAAGGCGACGCGCGCGCCGTGCCCGGCGGAGATCCAGCGGTCCAGCGCGTTGTACGCGACGTTGGTGCGGCGGTCCGGCAGGAAGGACACGTGCACCGGGCCCGCGGCGGGGTCAAAGTTGGACTCGAGCACGGGCGCGGGCGCGGGCGTGGGGGCGGCGGCGGCGGCGGCGACCTTCGAGTGCCACGTGAACTCGTCGGCAATGTCGCGCCAGAAGGCGGAAGGGTCCGCGATGGAGCGCGCGTAGAGGGCGTGGTACGCGGCGAGGGAGGGGAGGTGCGGTTCGTGCGGCGGGACGGGGGGCGGGACGGGCTGTGCCGGGAGCGGTGCGCAGGCGGTGGGGGCCATTTTGCGTCGGGGAGCGAGCGGAGAGACGGCGGTGAGAGGAATGCGGGTGGACGGAAGTGGGAAGGGGGTGAGGAAGGCGGGGGACATTTTCGGGAGACCGGGCAAGGGAGAGCCGACTCTGACGGGGGGGCGGGTAAAAAAGAGAGGAGGAAGCGAGCTGCGCGGTGTATGCCGCGTGTGCGAGGACCATGCTCGGCCTCGCCTGTGCTGCAACTCGCACTACGTACAGTACAAGGGTACCACGCCCGCCTGTCCGCCACACGTGCACACGTGCACACGTACACACGTGTATATAGATACACCTGCACACGTACTGTAAGGGTAACCATCTGTAAGATACACACGTGGGATACGTGGACAGAATGTATGGATGCCTGGATATCTCTGGCAAGGTATCCAGGTTTGCGGTAAGGGTAACCACCACATCCCTGTTCACAACAGAAAAGTCAATTTCACCCGTCTGCTGCCACCAAAATGCTGCCCCAATAAAATACACAAACCAAACCACAACCACTCCTACTCCTGACACCTACAGTACCTACCTGCCAGGGCTGTCAGGGCCTTTCTTAACCTTTGTGAGGGCCTTTCTTGCTCCTACTACTCCCCGACCACAGTCGCCGTCTCCTTACTCGCGACGCCCGCCCCGGCCGCCGCCTCCGCGCGCCCGATAAACTCCGCGCCGCCCATAAAGGGGCGGAGCGCGTCCGGCACGCGGACGCGCCCGTCGGGCTGCACGTGCGTCTCGAGTATGGCGACGATCATGCGCGGCACGGCGCACGCGGTCGCGTTGAGCGTGTGCACGAAGCGGTTGTCGCCGCGCGCCTCGCGGTAGCGAATGTTGAGCCGCCGCGCCTGGTAGTCGGTGCAGTTGGACGCGCTGGAGACCTCGCCGTACGCGCCGCGCCCGGGCATCCACGCCTCGATGTCGTACTTGCGCGACGCCGGGTGCCCGAGGTCCTGCGTGGGCATGTCCAGCACGCGGAAGTGCAGCCCCAGGCTGGCGTACAGCGTCTCCTCGAACGCCCGCAGCTCCTCGTGCACGCGCTGCGACTCCTCCGGGTGCGCGAGCACGAACAGCTCCACCTTGGAGAACTGGTGCACGCGGTACAGCCCGCGCGTCGTCGCCCCGGCCGCCCCCACCTCGCGCCGGAAGCAGTGCGAGAACGCCGCCATCTTCACCGGCAGCTCCTCCTTGGCCACGATCTGCCCCGCGTAGTACCCGCCGAGCGGTATTTCCGCCGTCCCCACGAGGCACAGGTCCGACTCTGCCACGCGGTACACCTGGCTGGCCTCGCCGCGCGGCGCAAACCCGCAACCGGCCACCACGTCCTCGCGCGCCACGTCCGGCGTCGTCATCACCGTGAACCCGTTCTGCGCGGCGAGTGTCATCGCCCAGTTCACCAGCGCCAGCTCCAGTAGCGCGCCCTCGTTGCGCAGGTAGTAGAATTTGTTCCCGGCCACGCGCGCCGCGTTCTCAAAGTCTACCAGGTCGTGCCGCAGGGCCACGTCCAGATGCGCCTGCGCCTCCATGCCGTCCTTGGCAAAGTCCCGCTTCTCCCCCACCAGAGACACCGTCCTCGCCTGCTCCTCTCCCCCGACCGGCACGTCCGGGTGCGTCATGTTGGGGATCTTCGCCGACTCGGCCTGCAGCTGGACCTCTGCCTCGGCGAGGTCCTTCTCGAGGCGCGCGACGTCCGCCTTGAGGCGCTTCCCCTCGGCGATGCACGCGTCCCTCTCCTCCTTCTGCATGCCGGCGGCGCCCTTCATGCGGGCGGCGTTCTCGTTGCGCTGGCGGCGGAGCGCGTCCGCGCGCTGCCCCAGCGCCACGTACGCGTCGTACAGCGCCACGACGCGGTCCGGGTCGGCCGGCACTGCGCGATCGCGCACGTTCTGTCGCACGGCGGCCAGGTTGTCTTTAATGAACTTGAGGTTGACGGCGGCCATGGCGACCAGCCGGCCCGAGCCCGGGCGGCCCCACGCGTGGCTGCGCCCGGCGCACGCGCGGCGTGCCGGGAAGCGCCGGCTGCGCGACAGCGGGATCGATGTGATGAACGCGGACGCCCGCGACAGGACGTGCGGCGGCGCGCGTGGCGGCATGGTGGGGAATGGTGGATCGCGGGAGAAGGGAGAGAATGACTTGGTAGACCGCGGTAGCAGCGGAGCGGGAGATTGAACGCCACCGCAAGGAGGATGTGTTCAGTATACTATTCACAGAGGTACACGTGTAAAAACACACACGTGTACACATGTGGATGTGGCGTGTTTCGGAAAGGCGTCGCCAAACCCGCGCAAGCCCCAGCGATGAAAGGTACTCATCTCACTACAGTGTAAGCAACTGAACGGCATATCGTGCGCTGCTGGCGCCACATGCTGGCACCGCCCTACTGGTTGCTCGACCGGCATGTCCCGAGCAAGCATAGAGAACTACCCACCTCTACAAGGTATTCCGAACACGATGTTCGGTTCCGTTCCCGCGCTTGTCCGGAGCAACCCTGCCTGACATCGCCCTCCCTTGCCCGCGGCGCACAGGCCCCGCCCGGAGCCCTCGGAGACGTACCATCGCTTCGGAATCAATCCACTTGTGCGCCTCAAAGAGACGCCTGCGCATTACTTGACACCTCAACCTGCAAAGAACGCGGGGGACGGCCGGAAGGGGGCCGGGGAGCTTGCGCCCCAACCTGCGCCAGCGCTGCGTAAACCGCCTGCGTCTGCGCGCGCAATCACGGCCGCTGGATGAGGCACAGCCTGTCAAAGGCCCCTCGCCGGCGACCTTTCTGTCTGTCCCGCACATGTCGTTTAGGCCGCGGCGCTGACGGCTCGGTCCTGCGGGCGGTGGCGGCCAGTGGCGGCCAGCGCGTGGGCGGCGTTGCGGCGGAAGAAGCGGCCTTGTTTGAGGGCGGCAGAGGGAGATTTGGAGTGGAGGTACGCGGAGTGCGGAGCGGGAGGGGGGAAGAGGAGGGGCGCGGCGGGCTGCACAAGGGCGCAGGTAAATTGCGCCGCGTGGGGATGGCTGTGCGGTGTGGCGAATGGAAGCGGCGGACGTGGTCGCATCGCAGGAGGGGCGTGCTGCGCTGGCGGCGAAGGGAACAACCTGGCGAAGGAGATGGGAAGGGATGACGCAAAATCGGCTCGCGTCGATGGAGCTACCCTAAGGTATCAGTTGCGAGAGTGACTGCATAGCTGTCATGGGCACTCTAGACTGGAGAGCGGGGGCTTGCTGGACAGGGCCGATTTACAGTGCCGTTTCTTCAGATGGCAGCTTCCAGAAAGGCCTTTTCTGTCACGTGCCAAAAAATAAAACAAATCGCACTCGGGAAACAATAGTGCCAACTTCGTTTCTTTTACCCACCGTCTCCACGCACATCACTCTCTGCCATCTCCGCGCGTCACCCGCCCACAACCGTCATGACGACGCAAGCAACACCATTCGAGATGGAGACGACGGGGATGTCGAAGAAGGCATTTCTCGAGCCGTTACGCCACCGTCCGCGCACCCTGCCGGATTCAGAGGAGGAGCTCATGTGCGTCAACAAGAAAAGCCTCTTCCGTGCCCTCCGCATGGCCAAGGCCTCACGGTGGGTTGCGGATTGGCTCTTCACGCACAGGGACCACCCGTTCCATCACCACACCACGATCCCCGCCGACGCCTTCGACAACGCCCTGGTCATCCGCGGCACGCACGCGCCGCGCGGCGCGCCCGACTGCGGCGTCGGCGTCGCCCCGGCCGCCGCGCCCGTGGTCCCGGGAAACGACGTGCTGTTCGTCCCCGTGGCGCATGCGGCCGGCCGCCTGATCGGATACACGTTCGGTGGGCTGGACGCCGAGCAGGCAGGCACGCTGAGCTGCGGGCACGACGCGCGCATCCTGCCGTTCTTCCCGCACTTTGTCGGCCGCTTCGCGTTTGACGGCGTGGAAAACGACCTCTTGGTGGTGGTGAACGAGATGAACGAAAACGTGACGGGGGTGATTTCAATACAGCGGAGCAAAGAGCTGATGCGCGAGCGGTCGAGCTTCGCCGTATTGAACGGGCCGTACGGGTTCGGGGCGCTGCCAGCAGACATTGCGCAGGTGACCAGGTTGGCGGAGCGGCGGTTGGCGAGCACGCCAAAGTACCAGTTCGCGTCGGGTGGCGGCGGCGACGACGACTCGGGGCGCAGACGACGGACCGTGCGCACGGACATGGAGACGCTTCGTGAGGGCTTGGCCAAGCTGGAGCGGCTCGTCAAGGGCAAGTTCTACGCGCCGCAGATGATCAAGGACCAGATGGACCCGGAGAAGGGCGACCTGCTCGTGCGGCAGACGGGGCAAGTGGACTCTGGTTTTGACGTCAAGGACGCGGTCGGGATGCGGATGTTTAGGGACACGGCCGGGAGGGCATACTATTCGTATATGGCGAGCATAGCTTCGCGGCGCGCGGCCGTGAAGGCGGCGGGCAAATAGGTGCGTAGTACATGGATGTCTCGACGGACTAGCACTGTGTGTTACGGGGAGGGGGGGCGTGAGGAGGATTGTGGAGTAGATTGTCAAAGAGGGCGGCGAAAGAGAAGGAAAGCGTGGCGTGCAATCGGGGGATGGGAGAGGGGTCCACGGCGCGGGGTTGCACACGACCAATCAGCGGGCGCCATGCTGTTAAGCACGGGTCCTATCCGCGGCACGTGTGTTTGCCTCAGGAGCGATCTCGAAGGCGTCACTGGGCGTTGGGCGTTTGCTCAAGTGCGACAGCCGCATCTCCTTGCTGCCCTACTCAAGCTGTACCCAAGTACTGTACACTGTAGTGAGAGTGATAGAACCAGTAGCCTCGTACTGTAATTCCCATGCATCTCCTTGTCTTACACAAGCACCCGTCGTCCTTGCACCAAAATATTGCCATCATTTCTTGATGCCATATTTAACGAAACGCCGCCGAAATAAGGCACCAAGAATGCCTCCCCGCCACGTTAAATTTTTCTTTTCGTGATTGCTTTTCCTCTCCAACCGCCCCTTCCACCTGCCCCCCCCCCCCCCGCCCCTCCTTCTCGTCGCCCTTCACTCGCACCTCCCCCGACTCCCACTCCCCGCGCATGGCGTACGACTCGGTGCGCGCCCAGCTGGACAAGCTGCTCGGCCCGGAGCGGAACGGCCCGCTGTCAACGCCGCCGGCCCCGCCGCTGTCCTACACGGACGCGGCGGTGTGCAAGGGATACCTGCTCGGCTTCTGCCCGCACGACCTGCACATCAAGCACCGGAGCGAGCCGGGCTCGTGCGCGCGCAAGCACCCGCCGACCGCGCGCGCAGCCTTCGAGGCCGACCGCGCCGCGGGCCGCGCCGCCGCCCACGCCGCCCGCTGGAGGAGGGACCTGCTTGCAGAGGCCAAGGCCATCGTCGACGATGAGGAGAGACGCATCCGCGCTCATGCTAGGAGGCTGCAAGAGAGCTACGCCGTCCAGGGAGGCCTGGCTGGCCTCATGATTAGGGACTTTGGAACTCTTAAGAAGCTCGGCATGGTGGGAGAACACGCTAAGATTCGCGTCTTGAGTGAGATGGAGGAGGACGTCGTCGATGACGTCGAAGAGGAGCAGAAGCGACCAGCGTCACCAGGCACGCGCGCTTCGGAGCAAAAGGATTCTCGTGAGTCGGAGAATGAGGACGACGACGACGATGAAGAAGGCGGTGCCGATGCGGAGGAGGAGGAGGAGGAGGAGGATGATGACTTTGGCGTTATATCAGTTATTCCTGCTTCGCGCTCCAAAAAGGAAGACCCAGATCCTCTCACCCCGGAGAAGGGAGACAACGAGGCCAACAAGCCTGCCGAGAGTGCGCGTCGGGATGCCACGTCGCCAGCCAAAGCGACGCCACTGGAACGCTCTGAGGGGAAGAAGACGAGCTCCCCATCAAAGCAGTCTCCGACAAACGGCGACGCAGCGGAGGTACATGCCCACGCTCCCGATGCTGATCCGAAAACGGACACTGCCGACGAAAACCAAGCAGCACCAACTCCAGCTGCAACCGAGGACAAGATGGAAGAGTTTTACAAGAAAGGCACCGGTCCGGATGGTCTGCTCATGCTGACGCGTAAGCAGAGCCTTCGCGTGTGCGCATGTTGCGGTGGCTTCATAAGCCTTGTAGACGCCGAGTCTCGTCTACTTTCTCACTACGGCGGTAAGTCCCATCATTCACTGGTGCAATTGCGGCAGAAGGTCGCGGACCTCGAGAACGAAATAGCCCTCGAGCGACGCCTGGGGACTGAATTGTCTCCCCGCGGGTTTGAACGGGGCCGTCGCGCCGAGTCTGACACTAACCGCTCGCGTGGAGACGAGCGTCGACCGAGCCACGGTGGCTCGAGAGACCGGTACAGAGGGCGCCACGACAGGGACGACGCCCATGACCGCTATGCCGGCGCCGATCGCTACGCCGCCCCGCACCACCGCCGCGACGAGGGGTGGAGGCCGCGCGAGCCGAGGTACCGAGGGCGAGAAGAGGACGCCAGACTGCATCCACGGTACGCATATGATCGCAAGCGGTACAGATCCAGATCTCCCACACGCAACCACAGACGCCACCGCCACCGCTATTAGGGCGCCCGCACGGACGGCGCGAGGGTTTTCACTTACTTCCTTTGCTGTTTGCCGTTGTAGGAAGTCGAGAGCGCGTAGAAGAGTGGCTTGGACGCTCGCAGATTGCCGCATGCCAATCCGGTACGAAAAAGTGAAGTTGCCTTTGTGACTCTCGTTTTGAACGGTATGTTTACTCTCTGCGCAAGACAAGAGGGCAACCTTTGCACCCCGGGTAGGCGGGAGATATCACTTGGCGATCAACTTGACATGATTACAATAACCCCTTCTCGGCCAGTTGCAGAGAATACGTTTAAATAACTGCGATAACTGCCTCTTCAGGTGGTCTGAAAATGGACGACAACCGGTATGTAAACTCCAATACTGCATTTGTTCTAATAGAGTCTAACGGGAAAACATCTGCGCCAGGTGTTTTTCTATCCCGCTCCATTGCACGACTCAGTCTGGGTGGGGACATTTTTACGACATGATCTTTAGCATGCGAGGAGGTGCTGTGGATTGTAGAGTACGGGATATTGCATGGTCTTGAAAGGCTTGTTAGCGGGCGCTCACGATGTTTGAGTGAAAGTCTGTTTAATGTCTACTAGTGTATGTGAAAAGGGAAAGCGGGCTGGGGTTAATCTGAAACAAAGATACGAGGACGACGAGATTGAAATTTTGCCAGCGCAAGGGTCTTGCTGCAGCCGTGAACGATTGGCAGTCACTTGCTTTGCGGTCGCGACCAGTGCACACAGCATCGTGCCTGGAGAGCATCGCAGGATGATGACGCGTCTCATGGGCAACGTGGAGGTGGATGAATGAGAGGAACACACGCGAGAGGCCCTTGTAGTTGGGTCTTTATAATCAATTTGACCTACAATAAATTCTCGCTCGAACCCCAAAGCCTGGAGCTCGAGAGTTTTCAGGAACGCTGGACGGATGTACCTAACGCTCAACGCTTGAGGCAGAGCAGGCCATCTGTTTGACAAAAGTTAGAGTTCGGGAATCATTTTAGAGAAATATTCTGTACGAGGAAGAAGGAAGAACAGCCTCTACTCTCTTGGTATTCACATTTGTTATCTACGGGGTGCGTACTCAATACCTAGCTAGTGCACTAAGACTCAGTATGTTTATTTGCCATGCTAAAGAAAACGAACTGGACTGAGTGTGTTTCGGAGCCGTGTAGTGGCGGTGGATTTTCCCGGATTGTGCAGCTTCGTGTCATGATGATTAAGATATCGGAATTGTGCAGCGAGCGTAGTGCAGAACTGGGAACACCAGCCCACCGGCGTGCGCTGGTTTTACTGAATTTATATGTGGGCAACACGAGAGAGAGAGATAAAACCCTAGCGCCCGGAAAAGTTGACCATGTTTGCGTTTGTGTACCGCACTAGAAGAAGAGCCCGTCAGACGACTATCACAGGGGACATTTAGAAGAGACAACTTGAGAAGCCATGCCCGACGCCAGGCTACCGTACGAGGCGTGTCCACCACGGACCGCGGCTGAAAACTGCGGGCACGTGCATAGGATGCCGCCACTTGTTTGCATCCGAAGCTGTCGCTCTTGCATGTGAGAGCATGTTTCGCCCTCCGTGTAGTACTCTAAGCGACAGATGTGTGTGCGGCCCGGGCTAGTGGCTACTGTCACCCCTGGAACGCAACCAGGCGTAGACCAGGATAAGTTGTTAATAAAGGCAAGGCGTCTTCATCCGTTAATATTAAAGTCAAGACGTGATAGGATGGAACGGATGGTCTGTGATTCGTGGAACCGACCAGACATGTGGCGAGGGCACCGATAAATCCCGTGCCAATGGAATCACCGTCGACCGAGTGGCGAGGTGATAAAGGTAGAGCCCTGCATTGGCTGTACATCTGGGAATCTTGCATGCCCCAACGCATCTCGATTACGGGCCTACTGCACAAACACATACCGAGGCCTGTCGTTAGTCCTACGCTCCCGCCCACGCATCTTAACCGGCGGCAAGTAGTTCGTGCAGTTTTGGCGCGAGCACCCCCTTCGCGTTTCGCGCGAAACAAGACTCAGTAGACCTCTAACATTCCCAGTCCCGCGAGATAGGTACCCTACCGGGCAATGCAAATGCCCATAAAACGCGCGGAATAGGCCGTATTCCGTCCAAACACGCCCACTAACCGTCCGCCAGCGATGCACTCCTGGGAAAACCGGATGCTAAATTTTGAACCATCGGAACTCCCTCCATACCCCAGCTGAATCTTCCCCCCCATCCCCCCCCCCCCCCCCCCCCCTACGCGCCGCCACCCTCCCTGTCCTGCCTGCAAACCCCCCAACCCTCGCACCATGACCGGTACGAAGCGCGTGCGCCCGCCCGCCGAGTCTGGCATCCCGCCCGCCCTGTCCGCCATCAAGCCGACGAACCCGGCGCTCTACGCCTGGCGTCTGCACGCCCATGTGCTTCGGCTGCCGGCGCACCCGGCCGCCCCCGGCTGGTGGTGCACACACCCGCTCGTCATGGCCGAGCTGCTAACGTTCCTTGCCGAGCCGCCGGAGACCGTCGAGCAGACGGACGCCTGGCTTGCGTTTCGCGAGGCGTGCGCGCGGCAGCTGGCGGCTTGCCACGCGTGTGCTCGCGAGTATCACAAGGCGGCCGCCAAGTGGGAGGTGGACGTCACATGTAGTACGACGGTGTCGCAGATCGTAGCGCACAGGCTTATTCGAGGGCTTGTTGCCTGGGATGTGAAGAGACTGCTTCCGCGGTTGAGAAAGAGCCCGCTGTTGGCAAGGGGAGCCTTGGGGGAAAAGGTATTTCTTTCGGAGGCGAAGTTGGCGGAGAAGGTTTGTCGCGATGCGTTTTTGGAGTGCTTGTTGAATTTTAGGGTGTGCATGAGGGCGAAGGTAGCCGAGACAATGGCTGAGTTGTTTAAGAGAGGGACAGTGGTGCAAACCAAGGAGGATGTCAAGCCGATGGTCGTCGAGATGGGCGTGGTGCCTTCGGGCCTGATGGCCTTGTGTTTTAACCAATCGTTCACGGTTCGAGCGTGGGCGAAGAGGATCATCGCCGACGTGTGCCCTTTTCCAGAAAGGGCTGATGCGCACGCGAGGAGTTTCCTGCTGCGCAAGGGAATAAGCGCCTGCTTGGGTAATGCAAAAGGGACGGGCAAAGGGGACTGCTCTCCACGCGCGCGGGCAGAGGCCCGGAAGGCCGCATGGGAGGGTTTCGGCGCTATTTTTGTACATCTCCGCAGAAAGGAGATTCTGAGTTTTGTCAGGTCAGTGCCTGACGGTGGCGTCTTGGAGATGTGTCTGAAAGCCGTTAATGACAATGACGACGCGACTGCATCTATTGCTATTGACTGCGCCCTGAATATGCTCACGCGCCTGCATCCTAGTGAGCTGGAGCCATCCAAGCCGCTGACTGAAACTGTCCTACTAGACGGGGTTGTCAACTCTTTTCATGCCAAAGACAGCGTCAAGACAAAGACTAAACTGCTCTACCTCATGCCGCTGCTTTTGGCCACGTCTCCACAACCAGAGACGAACCGAGAAATATCACGGCTATTCTGGTTATGTTTTGGAATCATTGAAAAGACGTACGAACCGCACGGGCATCGACGTTATGGTAGAAACTTGCTCAGTGCCGAGCCGCTCCCTGATAACAAACTCCAAACTGCGGCATTGAGGGCTGGTGCTAGTCTTCTGACCTGGTATTTTCCGACAACAGTATGCAACGGCACCGTCTCTGAATCGGATGCATTCGGTCAATTTGCTATCACCGTGTTACACACCGAGCCACAAGCTGCCTGGGCATGGAATTTGATTCGCACCCTCTGCTTTACTGACGTCCTGAGCCTTCTTCAGTGGGTACTGCCGCGTGCAGACATGAATGATATTCGCGCGATTTCACAAACGAGGTGGCCACAAACTGCGGCATTGCAGGAGGAGGAAGCGACATCAATGAAAAAGATAATAGAAGCGAGTAACAGCAATGAGAGGGTTGTTTCGTGGGTTGGCCCTCTCTGGCTTGCTTGGGAGTCGGGAACCCTAGCCAACGCGATCCCAGATTGTCAAAGAGACATAGTACAGTCTGAAGAGGCAAAACTTTTGATGGATCTCCATCAAATGGTCGGACTTGTTGATCCCGCTTCTTGTCTTCGAGGCAGTGGCAAAGAGCTTGGTCCAGCAAAAGTGTCAGGGCTCTTTGCAGAAGATTACTTGCGGAACTTAGAATTATCCTGTGAGCGGATAGGTCGAATTCAAAGAATTATTCGATTGCGCTTCTGCAAAGCCTGTGCCACCGAGGGAAACCAACTATGGTGGAGTCAGCTACCTTTTCATGCATCTCATTTGCTTGGAAGCGCCAATAGAGAGATTGGGAACAGCGGGATATCCGTTCTTCTCAAGTATCGAAGATTAGCCGGGGCGACTTCCGTGGTAACTCGTCCGACGCTTTTGGCGGTTGACCTGAAGAGCGACGCGGGATTAGGGAATGATGTTGCGGACGGATGTTTGGTTGCCATACGCATAGTGTCGGCTCTGGGTAAGCGCACCTCTGTGAGAACATACGCGACCTTGTTGACCTGGTATGGTACTTTGATGGACAGCGATTACCCAAAGTTGCTGGAGCATGAGAACTGGAAGTGGGTACTGGGAGTTACGCGGACCTTTCTTCGATGTTGGAAGGAGTTTGAGGACAACACTAATCGTGTCATTTTCAACGAAGTGGTCTGCAAGTTCTTAACGTGTCTGCGTAATATCTGGAAAACGCTATCGAACATCGAAAACGATAGCGAAGACGAATTGAACGAAGAGAAGCAAAACGCGCGCCAAACTGTCCTAGACGGAATATGGACAGGTCTATTCAGCATGGATACACTGCGAAGTGTGATCTGTCGTGGCGCATGGACAAGAACAGTATGTGCACTGGCTCCGTATTGGAAAGATATTCGAAGACTCCGCGATAAGATGGTTCTCATTATTGAATATCATGAGTCTCAACGGAATCTGTTGAGTTATGAAGAGTGCAAGTCCATTGCTGAGGAGTCTGAGCTGAAGGAGGTGAATCGACCCTTGCAGCGGTGGGCGGCTGATGGTAAACGAATGTCGCAAGACGCATATGGAGGAAAAAAGTTGCAGATGAAAATGGATCAATATTCCCAGAAGCTTGTGTCTAAGGATGGGAAGATTGCTAGTCGGCTAGTCGAAAGAAAAGCACCGCAACCATCCCTTTCTCAGAGTCGTCTGTCCATGCCCAAGTCTTCGAAACAGTTTTCTGGGTCTCATATTGCTTTCAAAGCAATGGGCGCTCCGTCTGTTTTGAACAACCTGCGAAGAGGAGTGCAGAAGAGCCTCAGCCGTCAAATACCAAAGAGATATACGCGACCAAATGTGAGCGCCCCAGCGGTTATAGGGGGCAAGACGAAATTTGAACTACTGGTTTTACAGGAGCGGGCCAAGAAAACAGGGCGAAACAACATGACGGACCGTCGTGGAGAAATGGCTAGAATTGAAAGCGAGCGCAACATTGCTGATGGTTCCAGAAAGGAGCGTGAAGGAACACCAATTATCGAACCCTCGGGCAATTTAGCCTCTGAAGAGAAGAGAAAAGATATTCGTCTACCTCAATGGCGGAGACGCTTGAATCCGCGCATCAAGGAACGTCTTTATCAAAGTATTCTCCAGGGATGTTCAGGCGATGCCATTCAAAGGAGTGAATTCGTGAAATCCGCGGCTACAACATTTGATCATTTTGAAGACGTTGAAACTTACGTCAGTCATTGGGAACCAATAATCACAACGGAACTTCGCGCCTCTCTTCGATCTATCATTGCGGAGGAAGCTGGTTTCGCAGCCAAACAGAGTCCAGATGAATATAGAGGTTGCCGTGCAGCTTTCATGGTAGAGGGTCCAGTGGAAAGCGTAGGCTATATTCAGAATTTTTCTTTGCGGTATTGCGGAGAGGTGAAGACACAGCAGGTATCGTTTGAACGTGGGATTTCAGATTCGCAGTTCGACGCCATGAAAATGCAACCTTGGGACATTGTCTTATTGCGGATTCCGCCTTCGAAATATAACCTGCAAGCAGAACCATCGTCCGTGGCAAGAAACGTTCTTGGTATCGTCGTCAAAGTCACCCGCAATCCTGGAATATTTCAAGTGAAGCTCAATGTAGCATTCGATCGTATCGATACTGCGCCAGGGAAGGGACGTGAAATCATGATAAGCAAACTGACGAGCATGACCACTTTTCATCGCCAACTTGATGCTTTGTACGGCCTTCCAGACCTGTCAGATGTTGTGCTGTGGAACATTCTTGAGCCTCAACGTAGTCTGGAGATCAAGCACAACTTCAACGAACACCGACTGCTCTCTGTCGGCGACGATGTACAATCTCGCCTTGATTTCATTAGACAGCTGCGTTCGTCGAATACACTCAACGAGAGTCAGAGCCTTGCAACTGAGGATGTTATTCACGCCTGTGCTCCAATTTTCGCGCCGAAAGCTAATCGCCTGCTTTCGCAGGGCGGTGCTCACAGGCATGGAAGCTTGACGTTAATACAAGGGCCTCCTGGAACAGGAAAGACGTCAACAATTATCGGACTTCTCTCTGCAGTCCTATTTCAAAAAGACAAGGGACGATCATGGGGTCGACATCGTGTTCGATTCGAGGATGGTGTCATCACAATGCCCTTGGCTCCCATTAGGGTGCTTATCTGTGCCCCTTCGAATGCAGCAGTAGATGAAATCATGTACCGTTTGATGGAAGATGGTCTGCACACAGGGGCAGGGTGCAAAGCATCTCCTCGAATGGTGCGGATTGGAGGCGGAACAACTAGAGACAGCATCAAGCAGCTAGAACTGCGAGCAATAGCTGACGAACACCTTGCTAAGAACATGAAAGATTCCACTGCAGGCAGCGCTAGGGCTCTCTGCTCTGGAATTCGCACCCTTCAGGCAAAAATCAAGACCCTGGAGGAGAAAATGTCAAACTGCCAAGAATCTGGGGAGTCCGGGGCAGCCGTTCCCCAATCGGAAACTGCGTCGAAGGAGCTCATCGAAATGAAGTCAAAAATCAGCACCATGCGTGATCAACTTGCACGAGAGACCATGAGTGGCGTGCGTCCGGCACAACGAGGCTCAGGTCCGAACGACATCCCCTCTAGGAACGCGAAAATTTTGAAAGCCATGAGCACAGTCTTGAATAGCAGTAGCGTAATGTTTGCGACCTTAAGTTCTGCTGGACACGAGGTAATGCAAAATTTCGCAGCGAAACCTGATCTGATTATTATCGATGAAGCAGCACAATGCGGCGAACCAGAAGCATTGATACCGCTAACTGCATCGCAAGCGAAAGGTGCAGCGCACGTTGTTTTCGTCGGGGATCCAAAGCAGCTCCCGGCCACAGTGATCTCAACAGATCAGAAAGTCGCGAAAGCGCTGCAACGCTCGTTATTTGAACGAATTGGGGAAGCATGCCCGCTTGCTGTTCACATGTTGAATACCCAATACCGCATGCACCCTGCCATTGCAGCGTTTCCAAACCAGCGTTTCTACGATAACCGATTACTCAATGGCTCAAACGTTACGTCGGCGGATATGTCGCCAGCTCATCACGGCGACATACAGAAGCGGTTTGGGCCCTGTACGTTCCTTGACACATCGCATGCGAGAGCAGAAGAATCCCGGGGCTCTAAGGGATCTCTGTACAACATTCGCGAAGCCTCAGCAGTTGTAAGCGCCTTGGCCGCTTTGTATCGAGGGTATGATGGCGCGAAGCTAGTCGGACAGATTGGAATCTTGAGTCCGTATAGGCAGCAGGTGTCACTGCTGAACAGACTAATTTCTCAGGATCCTGTTCTGAGGGCCGCTGCGATTGAAGTCAGTACAATTGATGGGATCCAAGGAAGGGAAAAGCCGATTATTTTTATAAGCACTGTGCGAAGTGGGCGTACTAAAACCATTGGATTTGTTGATGACGATCGCAGAATGAATGTCGCAATCACGAGAGCAAAACATACTCTCGTGGTGGTGGGAAATGCAACTGTCCTAGAGCAGCATTCCGGACTTTGGGCCTCGTTTATTTCATACTGCCGTTCGGAATCACGTCTTTCTGTTTTACCGTCAAACTCACAGGCTTTCTTTGCGGACGTGCGACCACCAACATCGAACAAAGAAGCCCTGTCCTCTTCGTCAACTGCTCCATGCCAAGAGGATAGCAGGCCAGTCAAGAGAAGGAAAGTTGAGAGGCCACGGCAAGATCGCAAGCGTGATATCCCGAGCTCAAAGTCAGACCAGACATCCAGTATTCCAGAAGGCATTGGAAAGAATGCAAATCCTCAGAAGACAATCGTTTCTGAGTCTCAAACCCGTCAACGTGTACTGCAAGTCAGCAGAGATTCAGCAATTACTCATCCGGTAAGCGTTCGCCCCATCGACAAAAAAGGAAAGACCCGCACCCAACAGCGAAAAAAATGTGTGTCTTTTTCAATCCCAAGCAACAGCGATGCAAACCGAGGTAAGGGGGCTGAAAGCCAGGCCAACGAAACCACTCAACAAGAGATCAACCAGGTTAAACCGAAAAAAGTGCAGCTGAGATCATGCCCCGTCGTAGATGTTGGCAAAGGCTTAATGGCTGCGGTATCAAGCGAAAAGGGAGTAAGCAGTGATGGCCGAAAGGATCATTCAGCGGACAAGAAGAGGACAGATCTCGTCAGTCAAACGGATATGCGGCACACCAAGCGGTCCCAGTTCGAATCTATGCAGATGGATTCACTCAGACCGCTACCGAACAGAAGCACTTGTGAAATGCCTCCCCATCGTGATGAGCTAAAGAAGCCCAGTCGGATTCGTGAATCTGGTCCAGGCCAATACGCTTTCTGCGAGAACGTAAGCGGGAGCCGGTCTAAGGCTTCAAATCTCCCCCAGAAAGAAAGGCGTGAAGTAGGAGTAGCACATCCTCAGAACATTGCCAAGCATATACGAGAGGGCCGAAACGCCAAAATTCCCCAGGAAGTGTCCTTACCTGATTACCAAAAGTTGCAGTCCAATTGCAACTCAACGAGAAATCACAGCCCCTCAGCCGTCACGTCGCGACATGGAGATCGAAGCAGAATAGCGGCTCCAAGTTCGACATCCGTGATCTCGCGGTTAGGGAATCGGGGACGATCCGAAGACTCGAATGTCGATCAGCTTGTGCAGAAGCAAAAAGTGCCCGTTCGGATGAAATCGAATTCCATCTTTGAGCGTTTAGGACAGCGGATGCATGCAACTCATCCATTTGAACTTCCAAAAGAGAGCGCAAGACATGCTGTGAGCAAGGACAGCGAGATAAATTCCTTGAAAGCAAATCGCCATAAGGTCGGGGCTCGTTGTCATGAGCGACCTATCCACCATGGCCGTCCCATGATTGAAAAAAAAGGTACTCATGCTGCGAGAGGCGTGAGTGATGATCGCTTGAATCATGAAGTAGATCGCGGCGGAAGCACACGATTGCGTGCTTCCGCTCGTGGTTATATTCTCCAGAATCAAGACACTGCTCTACGCTCCTCGTCCGCTCAACCTCCAACCTACCCTTTTTCCGCAGAAAGCACAAGGGGAGAGAAGAGGCGGAGAGAAGAGAAAGCTGGGCAACACGAAAATTGGGCCAGAGGCGGTGCAACTAGCTGGAAGAACGAAGCAGGACTCACAGATGTGCGAAGACATTGGGCTAACGGTACTACCAGACCCCAGCGTGAGCTGCGATGGGAAAAAGGATCGAGTGAGACACACAGAAGAACAGAGCGCCATCAGAATTATGCGCGAGAAAGAGGTTTTAATGATCCTGAGGAGCATATACTGCGGAGACGCGACAGACATGAGCCCCCTCGGCGAAGAGAAGACGTATTGCATCGTGATGACCGCATTAGCAATGCGAAGAGGGCCAATGGATATGGGCGGCCAAGCAATATTCTCGAACATGAGCACTTTCATGCGGGAATTGGCAACAGGAAGGACGGACCAAGGCACGATGAACCAAGTGGAAGGGGGTACTACGGAGAAGATCCATTTCTTCGGAGACATGCCATGCCAAATCGGACAGGCCACAGGCGACGATGACGATGATGTATCTTTTCGAGCCGAGGGCATTTGTGCAGCTCGTGTGGTACAGTGTGCCCAATTAATAGGCTAACTCAAAGGAACAAACGTGGCTCTTTCGAAACAACGATTAACGTAGTGATGAAAGTATGGCAACCAGTCAGGTGAATGCAGTGTAGCCCAGTGGAGGGCACACCCTCGCACTCCTGACATATTTATTATTATTCCACGTTAACTCTTTAGTTGTAAACACTAACATTAGAAACACTGTACCCTGTAACACTGTCTACACAAGAGTTCTAGCTCTCCCAATCATCCTAAAAGTGCGATCAGGTTATTTTTTCAATTCCACAGTTCACTAACAACTTCAATTGCATCAGAACACGATGGCGGCAGGTGCATTTGAAGAACCAGGAGCCGTTGGTCAGTGAAAGATTTGACCGGGAGCGAATCACGACTTTCTCTAACTTCATGGTGCAGCAATGTCATGTATGACAGTCTAGTAGGAAAACAACTTCTGCGCAGACACTTGTTCATGCGAAAACGCGTACAAACGCTTTTCCTTATCAGCGAGAGAGCTTGATGCCTTCTTGCCTTGGTCGAAATAAGGGTGTCAAATTCATTCTCTCTCTCTCGAGCGCTAGCCTAGCTATCGATTGTGAATTGGCAAGACCGTAGTTATTTTGTGACGGAACTTGTGTGGATGTCCCAAGACAATGCGGCAAGTTTCGCTTGAACGACTTTTTCCTTGGGTGGTTCACCTTAAACATTGACAGTTGTTCTATAAATGATATCTGGATTTTCAGACGCTATGATAAGGACAGTCATCAAAGTATCTTCACAAGGTGTGGATATGCATGCAGCAAAAACTAAAACTAAAAGATTTGATCCCAGTTGAGGCAAAATGCGCGAAAGATATACCTTCAGATATTTGCCGTAAGGATGACCATCTGAAAAATATCCTGAGGTGCGGCAAAAAGACAAGCCGGAATACTTTCGCATCACTTGTAGCGATAATCAATTTTAGACGTTTTGAGCAACCATTTTTTATCCATTTGTGCATCATCTAGCGTTCGTTGTCATCGATTTTGTTCTGAAGCATGAGCCAGGAGTCAGAAAAGGCATGGGGCTTGGAATCCTTTCGAGAAAGACGGCGACACATTTCTGCCGAACAACAGTATGAATACGAATCCAGTCCCATTTCTGTTCGACTTTGCACCGCTTATTCTTCCTTCTCATCTGTTCTGTATGCACGCCTGGAAAAGAAAAAGATTCAGCAAAGCAGAGACGGAAACCGATTCTTACAGAAGAGCCAGGATAAAGACCTTCAGAACATATACTGTACTGCCTGATGGACCTCAGGGTGTAATTACATTCTTCTGTGGTGCACAGTGTGCACCACAGAAGAATGACATGCGTGTGCACTGCACACGCATGTCGACGCAACGTGGCAAAAATGAAAACAAACAAACACACGAGTCAGGATCACCGGTGATCACAAAGCAAAATTAAGATGATCATCGTTCATGCATCATATTACCCCATAATGTTAACCACATTGCACCTAGTAGGCACAAATACGATTTGATATCACAGAGGGTCCTTTCTTCCTGACATATAGCGCATTCCGTGACGCCTTTAACAATGCATCGAAAGTACCAGCAACCCCAGCGCACCATCATCTCCAGCAAGACCTCTAGGCAACGATTGCGACGAAAACATCATGACCAAACATGAGAATTGGCTTGACAGACTTCCGAATGACCTGTGCCGCCGCATCGCCTCGTACGTATCGGGGGGTCAGATCACGGACAATGCGCTGCAGCTGGCAAGGGTGAGTTCCCGCCAATGCGATGCAGTGCTCCTGTCTCTCTCCTGCGACTTCAAGAACATCTCGGAAGAGTGGGTGCAAGTCTTTATGTCCAGCAAACTCTCCTTCATCTCGTACAACGGGGTGTTCCAATTCACGAAAAAAAACCGGCCGCACTACTTCTCTATGTTCAGATCGCAGCAAATGCGACGCCTCTCCATCTCCGAGGACGTCAACTTCCCCTTCGCCACGTGCCACATGCCTTCGGTCCGCGAGCTGGACATCGAGGTAACGCAGCAGATCCCGCGCGACATAGTCTTTGAGCTGTTCTCCACGCTGAAGCTCAAAAAACTGACGCTCCGGTGCCGGGCGTGGTGGGAGTACGACTCGGTGTGCATCTTCAACGACCAGCGGTACTTCAATCATTCCCATAACGCGCTACAGCGCAGCTGCCCAGACTTGGAGTCGATGCACGTGGACTGCTTGTGCCTGGAGGAACACCCCCCATTCTGGGGGGTGTTCCCCGGGCTGCGGTCGCTGCGCGAGGTGAAGCACCGGTCGCCGCCGCCGGCGGCGGTGGGCAAGCTGCGGACGCTTGACTCGGTGCAGCTGTTCGACCTGATCGACGGGCAGAGCGCGTACGGGGACGCGATGGCCGTGGGGGAGGCGGTGACGGAGCTGCGGTCGTTCAGGCGGCTGGACGAGGAGGCGATCGCGGGGCTGGTGGCGTGCTCGCGGGTGTCCGTGCTGCACTGCACGATCGCCGAGGGGTGCGAGCGGGCGCTGCTCGACGTGTGCGGGCAGCTCGCAAGGCTCAAGACGCTGCAGATCGACTGGCACACACCCTGGGAAATCGACATGGACGACGAGCTGCCGTGCTACGAGCTCGTGGAGGGCGTGCTGCCGCTGCTGGTGAAGGGGCTGGGCAGCCTGAGGGAGATGCGGCTGTGTCATATCCGGGTGCCGCTCGGGGAAGTTTTGGAGATGCAGCGCGGGTTCGGCAAGCGGCTGGAGGTGTTCGAGGTGCACGTGAGCAGCGAGAAGGAGGAGCCGCTCGAGTGCCTGGAGAGGGTGCTGCAGACGGCCAGCGAGTGCAACTCGTCGCTGAGGTGCCTGTGCTTGTTCGGGGTCGGGCTGGGCGAGAGCTACGAGGGGTGCGATAGTGTGTATGGAAAGCAGGCTCGGAGGGCGCTTGCGGCGCTGCATAGACTGGAGAAGAGGGCGGACCGTTTTTTGTGGATGCCGCTGGAAAAGACGCTGGAGCACATTGTGGAGATTTGCCCGTGAGTATGCGTCGTGACGTGGCCGGGGACGTCACCAGATGCACGGATGCACCGTGGCGGGGTACTCGTTGCCGGGCTGCCAGGCTGCCGCGTGGACATGGGCTCGAGGTTGTTGCAAAGTTGCGGGCGGGTACACGTTGCCAGATTACCACGTGGACACGCGCTCGAGGTTGTCGCACCAGTGCGATAGGTAGTGTGGTCAGAGTCTTCTCTCCCAACGGCGTGTTGATGTCAACATCTGTGGAACATCTGTCAACAGCCGCGATTTCGGGTTGTTTTTTCATTTTTGCTTTTTGCTTGTTTATTCATGCAGAAACTAAGAAACTTCATGATTCTTCATGAAGAAACGACTTTAGACAATGGTAGCCACGACTTACACGTTACATCTCCATGATAGAGATGGGCTACAGGGACCCTAGGAAGGCATGGGGGATCTCGATTTGGATGGTTGATCGCGATTATCGGTGGGTCACTTGAAGAAGGCCGAAGTGGTGATTTTTTCATTTTGCAGCATTATCTGGCAGTTTTTGCGCGCAATTGCGCGCAAAAACATGATTTAATGAAATCGCGGGTCAACAGATATGCCTGGGCGGTCCAGTAAACAGACTACTGTTCTGGGAGCCGCGCTCGTGTCGCATACACTTGGTCTTCCGCGAGGGTCCATCACACCCAACCATCGCCAAGGAGATGGAGCATTGCGCACGCCCTCTTCCGCACCAAGGAAACACCTCCACGTCTTCCGACCTCGCCTCCACTCTGCACAGCAGCGCACCTGCCTCATCGCCGGATCAAAGTCCCACTCTCTTGCTGCTGCGCGACATGGGAAAACCCAAGGCTACCGTCTCCAAGTTGCCGCCGCCCCAGTCACCCCCGTCGCCATGCGTGCCATCCCCTACCCATCGGCCCCGCACCTGCACCCGTCGCCCGCGGCGTGGCGCGCGTCGCCGCCGTCCCTCTCGCCCGATTTTTTCCTGCAGCAAAACGCCCGGGACACGCTCGCCGACGCCCAGCTGCACGCGCAGCGCCAGCGTCTGCAGCAGGCGCTGTCGCTGCCGTCGCAGCACCGCTGGGTCGCCGACTGGCTCTTCGCGGACGCGCACCACGCCTTCCACCCGAACATCCCGGTCCCGCCGGAGGCCTTCGAGAACACGCTCGCCATCCAAGTCTCGCACAGCTTCTTCGAGCTCGCCGCGCCGCCGCCGCCGCCGCCGCCGCACCCGCTCCCGACCGCGCCGAAGGGAGCCCCCGCCAAGCGCTGCCCCGTCACCGGCCATACCGCCGCACCCGACCCGGGCGACCGGTCCTTCCGCATCGCTGACGCCGACCTCGTCCTGCTGCCGGTAGCCAGCCTGGACGGCATCGCTGTGGGCTATGCCTTCGGCGGCGGCATGTTTGAGTCGGGCGCCGGCGCCACGAAGAAGGGCGCGCCGTTCTGCGGCCGCTTTGCCTTCGACGCCAAGCACGACGACTTGCTCATGGTGGTCAACGGGCGCCCGGCCAGCGCGCAGCCGGCGGACTGCCCCGTCACCGTCATCATGACGGTCTCCCTGGTCCCCGGGAAGCGCACGCGCGAGCACTGCTTTTTCTCGTGCCCCAAGATGCAGTACTCGTTCGAGAGCCTGCCAAGTACCATCCTGTCCGTCGTGACGGCCGAGGGCGCGGCCGCCTCGGACGGCGCCGACCTGCTCGACGACCTGTTCACGCTGTCCGACGTCGACACGGTGTCGACCGCACCCTCGTTCGGGCTGGACCTGTCCGACCCAACGCGGAAGGACATCTCGCACCTCCTGCTGCAGGACCTCTCGCGCGACGCAGGCGGCCTGTGCGACGGCGCCGACTTCCTGCACTCGTTCCTCTCCGACGGCGGCTGCGCGGCTTGGCGCGACCGCGCACCGGCCTCGCGAGCGATCACGCACGCCACGCCCTGGGAGATGGACCTGTTCGGCGGCACGCGCGACGGGGTGGGCTGTCCCGCGCGTGCCCGGGTGCACCGCCGCGTC